CTGACGCCATTTTCCCCTTCTTTTGGATTTGTTTCGCCCTCCCCCGCACCCATCTGCGCATGGGGAGAAAAAAGCCGCCCCGCCGCGCGCACCGGGCGACGGGAAGCCGTGGCCTCTCTCAACAACAGCCGCCTGGTCTCTGCGGGTGGAGAGGCTTTCGTCAAAAGTGCAGTCCGCTGCCCCCGCCGTGCACCCGCGATCGCGCGTTGAATCGAACGATCGACGTTAGCGGCGAGGGCCCAAACGCCCGCGTGGAGGTGCGCCGTCAGACGCGAATCGCGCAGGACCTCGGTGCTGAACCCGGTCCACCAAAAGACAGGAGGCCCCCCCGCGTCCTCGCCGCGAAGCTCACGAAGCTCGCGCGCGCCCAGGGCGGCGAACAGCCCCACAGCGATCAGCAGGGATTGGACAGGGCTGGGGACGAGGCCCAGAGCGAGGCCGGCGGCCCTCGCCAACCGCCGCACCGGCCGGGTTGTCTCCACGCAGAGGTCCCCCACCAACGACGCCGCCTCAAGACTCCAAAGCAGACCCGAAGGCCGCGCCCGCAGCCCCTCCGCGAGGCTGTCCTGGAGCAGCATCCCCCCCAGCGTGAGGGTCGCGGCGGCCTCGAAGAGGGCCTCCCGCTCGGACGCCGGGTGCGGGAAGAGAGGGGCGTTGGGGCTGATGGGGGGAGGCCGTGGGCCCGCCTTCCCGAACCCCTCCGTGTCAGGACGGGAGGGCGTGTGACACAACCCCGGAAGGCCTCCCCTTCCTCCTCCTTCGGTGTCAGGGCGGGTGGAACTGTGATACAACCCCGGGAGGGCCCCCTCCCCTTTTCCCCGTGCGGGAGGCCCCAGCGCGGCCCTGAGGGGGTCCGGGCTGGTAAACCCCCCCCGCAGCGCCAGGGCCCGGCGCGCGGTGAGCAGGAGCATCTGCAGGACGGTCGCCAGCCCATCCCGGGCCAACGTCGCGGGGGGGGAAAAGGAGGTCGTCGAGGGCGGCGCCGCGGGGCGGAGATGCCGCGTGAGGGCGTCGGACAACCCCCCGTCTACGGCCACGCCGGAAAGCGTCATCAGCGGCGGGGGGAAGGCCTGGGCCGACCCGCGGGGCTTTCGCCCTTTCGTCGTCTCGGTGGACTTCTGGGAGGTTCGCCCGTGGTCCGCGTCGTCGGCCCCGGGTTTCCCCGAGGTCGCCCGCATGAGCAGCAGCCTCGGGGAGGAGAAATCGACGTGGAGGTACCCCCCGGAGGCCCGCCGAGAGGCCTGCCAAAGTCCAGCCCCCTCCTCGATCGCGTGGGGACGGGAAAAGGGCAGGTGAAAACCTTTCTCGCTATCCCAGCGAAAACCCTCCCCGACGACAACCGCCGCCGTCCCATCGCTAAACCTCACCTTTGAACCCCTTCCAAGGGTATGAAAGGGAAACAAATACACCGGCGGGGGTAAATACAACGCGTAGGAGGAATTCCCGGCGAAGGAAGCGCCCAACCCCCCGCACGCGGCCACTTCCTCGACCAAAAAACAAAGCAGGATGCTCGGAATGGCGGTGTGAAAAAGCTCCGCGGTACTCGACGGGGGCATACCCTGACGAAGCAATACCCCCTGCACGTGCGCGTTTTCGTCAAGAAGGGCGCTGTGGGTGCCGTCGACGTACGCGGAAAGTTTGAGTGCGGAGGCCAGCCAATACGCGCGGAGCTCGTAAAGCTCACTGATCGGCCTTCCCCCCGCGAGATCCCACCCCATCAACGCCAACCACTCCTCCACAATCCAACTCCCGACGCGCTGGACGAGGGGCTCGTCCTCGTCGTCAACGCGGACGGTCGCCATCCAAAGAAGTTGAAGGGCCCGTCCGTTGAGCACCGCCTCCTCCCCTGCGCGTGAGGGAAGGGGCGAGAAAGGCGCTTGTCGATCATTGCCAAGGTAAGGGGTTGCCGAGAAGAAAGATTCGCAGAGCGAAAGCTTCTCAACCGTGCATTTGTGAAGGAAGAGAAGCTGTTCGGACACTCCTAACGACCCCTCCCCGTCCCCGGGAACCGGGTCTGAGGCGCTTTTCGCAAATCCCCACGCGTGGGCTGCTTCTTTGTCCAATCCACCAGAAGGCTCCCACGAGGGCAAAGCCACAAAGGAGTTCGCCTTCTTTTCACTGCCTGTGGATGTCTTAGGGCGTGGGTGCCGTTTTGTATGAACGTTGGTTCTGAATTTCGCTCGGAAACGTCTCCTTCGCAGCGGCTTTCGCCCACCTGCCAAACTTGTCGGGGTGCCGGCGGCCAACAGGAATGAGGATCCAGCCCCATCCCGGCCCTTTTCGTTTAATTTGTTTGATAATGCCTTAGTAATAACGTGCGAAGAGGCCTTCAGCGCCTCTTCTTTACTACTGCTCCTATTTCCCCCCTTGGTCCTGTCTGAAAACGCAGAGGACGAGGCCGCCGAACCCCCTTCCTTCTCGCTAGAATATTCTGGAATTCGAATCACCTCAACCAGGTTAAGAAAATGCAAAACATTGAGCGCGAACACGGTATGCGGGTCTTTCTTTGCGAGCTTCACGTAGTGCAATGCGGCGCCGATCTCCTCCTCCGAACCCTGGTAGGCACCATTATCCATCGATTTTGCGTTTTTAGCCTTTTGTGAAAGACCTTTTCGGGCGGCCCTATGGGCACCTGCGCCGATTCGCACTTTCGGTCTGGATCCCCGCTCTGTGGGCGCCCGCGCGAGCGTTGGGGCGGGTTTCTCCACCCCTTGCAGGCGATCTCGCACTAAAGCCTCGTAATTCGGGGCCCAAATACAGCCCGAATGTAAAAGAAGGCATAAAAAGATGATGTCATTTCCAAGTACTTTTCGCCAGACCCAAAAGCAATGCCGCCATCGTGCGTAGCTTTCTCGGACCAAAGAAGGATTTACCGCTTTCTCGGTAGGAAGGGGCGGGTAGGCCAAAGGACCCCAGATGTGATCTTTCAGGGCTGGCAATAAATGCTCCAGAATGCGTTCAGTGGAGCTGCTTTCAGGAGTCATCTTTATTTTCTGATTATACAACTAAATATCACGTGGACTCGTTGGTGGTGTTAAACTACTTTTAACAGAATTCCAACGTGCTCCGAGAAAACTAGAGAGCGTTGAGAAAAGGCAATCAAAGAATGTCATCAGAGAAGAAAAGGAATAGGGAAGAATATTGCGGAGTTGTTTCGAACATAATCACTATATTTCCTGTGAGGAGAAAAGGGGAGTGAAGTAAAGACAAACGCCACACTTGTAGGGTGTTGGAATAATTTGATAAGCACTTATCCTATAAAATCATAGGGAATGGGAAAAAACAAGATACCATTTCACACAGGTTCAGTGCATCTAATCCGCAACACATTTTATCAGATCCCATGGGGTGATGATCGAAAGACCCTTCACCCAATCATTTGAGGGATATAGAAAGCACCATAGTCAGTAGCTCACATACAATAGAAATAGTTATTTAGGCGATAAAAAAAAAGAGCCGTAAGGAGGTTGCTATAAGTATTTTAAAAGATGAAATTTTCACGTAAAAGGAGTCTCATTTCCCTATTGATTTAGACAAAATCACTACCACATTTCCCTTAGAAAGCCCACCTCACCGCGCCCTTTAGACTTACAATTTCTATTTCGTAATCCCAACATGTTCAGTCGCAAATGTTGTACAAGTAGTCCATAAGTTTTACCTCGCTCTCTCTTTTCATCACATGCCGGAACTCATCCTCGACGACGCGCAAAAACAAATTCTGCCGTTTTTCATCAGAAAGAGAGCTAGGGACGGTGGGGACGCCGTGTTCGACCGCCTTCTGGTACGACTCCAGCTGATCTCTAATAAAGTGATAATCCGCGTGGTCGCGGAGCGGGAAGTTGGCCTCCGAGAATTTCATAAACCCCACGGTGTACTCATGACCAGGGAAGATAAAGGTCTTCGCATCCATCTCGTACCCCACGGATGCGTTCAGCTGGTAAATCTTCGCCATCGCGGCGCACATATCCTGCGCGGTTCCTTCGAAAAAGGCCCCAATCCCGGCGATAAACATCGTATCGCCGGTAAAAAGCGCGATCCCGTCCTCCAACCTGGCCGGGTTGAACACTTTGTACGCGACGTGGCCGGTGGTATGGCAAGGCACGTCAAGCACCTCCACCCGAAGACCCCCCAAAGCGAAGGAATCCCCCTCGCGGACGGTTTTCGTCGCCCCCGGGACGTTCTCGCGGGCGCCGCCGACGATAACGGGCAAGGCGGCCGCCTTTCCCCCCCCTTCGGCGCCCCCGCGGAGCCGCACGCCTTGGGCGTTCCCCCCGGCGTGATCCCAGTGTTTGTGGGTGGTGAGGATGGTGCCTACGGCCCAGGCCTTGGAGGCCCCGGGAGGGCATTTTTCCGCTTGGATGTACCGAAGGACCGGGTCGAGGTCGGTGTTGAGGTCCACCACCGCGAAGGCCCCGGAGGTCCGGTCGTGGATGAGGTAGGAGAAATTATCCCGAAGGGTGGGAATCACCCCAACAGTGAAAGAACCACCGAATTCCTTTGTGGCCCAGTTCCGCTTTAAGTGCTTGAGAATGGGCATCGGGGTTGCGAAAGGGTAAAAATGATAAGAATACAAACTACAAAATCGGTAAATGGGGAGTCTTTAGTGTCGAATCGCTTTGCAGGGGGCGCTGAAGACGCCTGGGTGAGGTTTTAATGGGTAGAAGAAGGTCAATCTTAAAACCGTAGGGAGAAAAAGAGTGCGAAAGTAGATTTGGGAAGGTAAAAGGCAGATATCAAGAGAACAGGATCGGTCCAACCCATGGTACAAATCACGAACTTTTCTTATAAAAGACAAAAACTTCTGTTCAGTACTTGTCATTACTTCAATCTTGCAAGAAGAAAGTCGCTAGCCCCAGGCTGGGGTAGTAAAAATGGGAAGATCCATTTATATAAATATGCTCCTTCAAGCAGACAAATAAAATATAAATCCGCCCCCGGAGTCAACGCATGCACTATCATCAATGAAGTAGCAAATCAGTGACAAATTAGTTCTTCTCCTCAATGATTTTATAATAGTTTTTCCTTTTTTTTTAATATCAGATTCATCGCTAAATACGTTACACTTCATTCTTTCCTTCTTGCTAATGGAAGGCGCATTCGCCGCAGCGAAATATCATCTCATGGTGGCAATGTCAGAGTCCGTGTAAAGGAGGTTATGTACATACTCGTGTGCGTATATGGGAAGTCCTTCAGAGGGAAACGCATCGCTCTCTTCAGCTTACTTCTACGAAATGATAATAACAATAATAATAATAAGCGCATCTTAATCCAGAAAGCAAAGGTCTCAAGGTTTGGCAAACTTGACTTGCTTTTTTTATCCTTACAAGGGAAGAGGAACTCAAATTTATGTGTAGAAGTCATATTTTTCATCCCCTGTCTTTTTAATCACGGTGCGGTAGGCCTTCTCCATATCTCTTGGCAGGATCACGTAGCGGTTCTTACGCACGGCGGACATCCCAGCCTCCTTGCAAATGGCCTGAATATCCGCGCCGCTGAGCTTCTCCGGGCGCGCGACGAATTCCTCGAGGTCGACCTCCGGGGATAAGTTCATCTTCGACGTGCAGACCTGGAAGACCAACCGCTTTTGCCGGCGATCGGGGTAAGGAAACTCGATCTTGCGATCCAGCCTGCCGGGCCGCAGGAGGGCGGGGTCGAGCGTATCCCAGCGATTCGTCGCCATGATGACCTTCACGTTGGTCGCCTGGTCGAACCCGTCCATCTGGGTGAGCAGCTCGACCAGCACGCGCTGGACCTCGCGATCGGCCCCGGTTTGCGCGTCGAAGCGCTTCGTCGCGATGGAGTCGACCTCGTCAATGAAGATAATCGACGGGGCGTTCTCGCGCGCGAGGCGGAAGACATCCCGCACCTTCCGCGGGCCTTCGCCGAGATATTTCTGCACGAATTCGCTCCCCACGACGCGAATAAAAGAGGCTTTGGTGTGCCGCGCGACGGCCTTGACCAGCATCGTCTTGCCGGTCCCGGGTGGGCCGTACAAAAGCACCCCGCGCGGCGGATCAATCCCGACCTGCTGATAAAGCCAGGCGTGGGTGAGCGGGAGCTCAACCGCCTCGCGGATCTCCTGCTTTTGAATATCCAAGCCCCCCACATCCGAATACCCCACGTCGGGGCGATCCGCCGAGGTCATCAGTGAGATCGTGGCGTCGGTCTCGCTGGGAAGAAGCTGCACGCAGGCATTGCTGCTTTTGTGGAGGCCCACGCTCGTGTTCGGCCGAAGCCGCTCCCGCTCAAGCGTGGAGAGGATTTTCACGAAGTACTGCGAGCCCGTCGTCCCGCTCACGATCCCGCGGACCCCGTCCACGGCCTCGACGAAGTTCCCGAGAACGAGCGGGACGGCCTGGATGCGCCCGACCTCCTGTTTGGCCGCGTGCTCCTCGCGGAGGAGGTGGTGGGTCTCCGTCCGGCAGACCATCGTCCGAAGCTCCAACGTCCGAAGGCTGCGCTGGAGGCGCTCGTACTCCTCGAAAAGGGAGGTCGCGGGGACCCCAACAGCCTTCCCCACCGAAGTCATCCTAAACGCCCGTTAAAAGACCAAGTTTCGGGGGAGGGAGGGATGGATAATGGACTTGTGAGGGACCGCTCGCGTTCCCTTTCCTGTTGGGTGCGTGTGCGTGTGCGTGTGTGTGTGTGTGTGTATTGTACTGCAGAGAACAGCACAACGACCCCTTTTTGTAGTTAACTCGGTCTGAGAAGACTAAATTTGTGTGTGTGTAGAATGCAATAAATAGAAATAGGCTAAGAATATACCTGAGTGAATTTAAAAAAAAAAAGAGGATTGAAAATAAAAATGGTCTCCATGACCTCCGTGTGGGAACTAAATCCCTTTGGAGAGATTGATCGTCATAAAGGAAAGGAATCACGGCGATGAGTAGAAAGATGCAGAATATACTGCCCTTCTATTGGAACGGAACGCAAGAACAGATGATATCCAAGCAATTAACTCTTTTTTGTTCCTACAGAAAATGTATAAAATGTATAAAAAAAAAATTTGCAGTGAGTATTTAACATGTATTATCATAAATAACTTGGAATAATATATGATCAGTGCTGTGAAAAAAATCTGAAGGCAACACGGCCAAATGAAAACTTTCTTTCACAGTCACAAAATAATAAATATATATATATATTTACACAATGGTCTACCTTTTTTTATATTTGTTTGATTTGAATATCAATTGATTTGATTACTTGAACGATACAATGTAAAGTAAAAGTTTCATTTGACATAAACATAAATATATAAACTTGCATTATAAATGAAGAATACGAAAAGTATTATATGGCACTTAATTACTCCATCTAACAACACATAGTAAGTACCATGAAAAGATTTTTTTCTGCTAAGTACTAAACAAAGTTCTGTTTTTCAAGAAGTGCAATAATATAATATTCATATTGTATAATTAAAATGCATAGATAAAGACATATTAATATGAAGCATGAAGCAAAAAAAAAAGTACAAAGTGTGGCTTAATTTTCTATAATTACCTGTTGGTTTGTCTGTCCCTTTCTGCATATAACGTTCCAATGGAAATAAGATAACGACTGAAAACACTTTACATATACTCTACAAATATATAGCTAGTTATAATAATATTGAAATAAAAATACACATACTTCAGCAATGACCCTTCACTAAAAGGAAAGGATAAAATGGAAATTCTATCATGATACAGAAGAGCAATGCAAGGGAAAAGAAAAAGAAGCAAACGGGAAAAAATAATAAATTTCTACAGACTAATCGAAAAAAAAATTCAGCTATTGCCAAAGAAAGAAATATGATACAAAATAAGCATCACTCGGTGTTACTGATATTTTACTCCTTTTTCTTTTCTTGCTTTATAACCAAATTCTGTATCTCAATGTCGCCCCAATGCTCTATTCGAGTCCCAATGGTGTGGTATATATATATATACATGCCTGTGCATGTAGATGCACGTGTATAATAATCGTACCGCACACCACCACTCCTCTATTTTATGTAGTATTCATACTTGATTCTATCGGTCTGGATCATTTTAAAGCACTTTGCGATTAACATGTAGGGGCAGTATCGTGCGGTGGCAATGACAGTACCAAACGCACGAACGACGCGATACTGGGTTTGGAAGCCTCCTTACGCCATCGGAACAGCTCCTTTCGCTGCTTTTCTTCCTTGTCCTCGAGTTGCGTGTTGTCCTCCCCAGTTTCTTCGATGAAGACGGCATGAAACGGGGGGTTGAAATCCCTGTAGTCCGCATGCTTCCCCATGAGTTTGCTCGACTTGTCGGATTTCATGGCCGCGTAAAGACAGTTTGCTTCTTTTTCACCCGTGATGCAATGGGCGTGCGGTGGGTTTGTCGGATTCCTGGCCCCCACCTCCCCCTGATCCTCCTCTTGCTTTTCCACGCCTAACGTGGCGACCGAATTCACAAGGTCCCCGCGGTCATGTCCGGCGAGAAAGGGAACGACGAGTGGGGAGTTCGCCTCGACCCCTTTCAAAGCGCCCTTGGCGGCCTTCCCACCCCCCTCCATCGGGGGCGAAAAGGACGGGGTGGGGAGCCGCTTCTTCGCCCCGTCCCCCTCACACCGCCCGCCGTGGAGGGGGTGGTGGGTGAGATAGCGCGCCAGCAGCCACCTGAAGGCCTCCCG